CCCCAAAACCCCAAAACCCCAAAACCCCAAAACCCCAAATCAATGATAAATTATTGAAGCTTATTGTCTTAAGGACACTTTCTCTCTACCATAATTGCACCATTCTCCTCATACTCTTGTTTAGAGAACCACATCTGTTGGAAGGATCCCAGTGATCCTAGAATAGAACCTCCAGTGAAGGAACTGGCTCAATACTCAGTTACACTTCCTGAATGAGAAGAAGATACCTTTACACGGAGGTTCTGAGGAGCTATTTCTGGAAGCTCCTTTTGCAAACGTGAGATAAATCCTTGTGTCATGCAGTTTCCCCCTGTAGCTAAAATATTGCTATAGAGCTCCTTCCTAATATCTAAATCAGTTTGGTTAATAGATTCTGTAATGGCATGTTGTACGCCTATAAACCCTTTGAGATGGTCATCATCATCTTCCATCTGGGCATCAGACCCTGCTTTTTCTAGTTCTTGATTGATAATATCGACCCCTGCGAAGAACACTTCAGGATAGAGGCATCGTTCGCCCCCAATTTCAAATTTCTTACCGTCAGGGAGTTCATACTCATAAGGCTTAATATTCTCCAGCTTTTTATCCGTAATTGAGATATCACTCACAAGTGCACATTCCTGCTTGAAGAACTTAATAATTTTGTGGATGTGGTAGTCTCTATAAGAGTCAGTAAACCCTTCTGTGCTCTTTGGAGTCACCTTGATATCCTCGCCATCCACTACTTTATTGAAGGCATAGCCTGGATTCACAGGAATACCTTTGCTTTTAAGATATTCATGAAGCTTATTTGATACATAACTCCCTCCAATTCTGTATCTGAGAGTAGACCCATTTAGAATATATCCCTCGAACACTGGTGCAGCATAAGTGGAATTGTGTCCTGAGTCTAGTACTAAGCAAGTCGATTTTCCTGAAGCAAATGCTGATAACACTGCGTTTTTGCCAAGAAATAGGCATGGAACATTGCACTTTTCAAATAGAATCTCAGTTAGCTTTAGCCTGTGTTCTTTATTATGCATATTAGGTTCAGTAAATAATAATGGAGACTCAGTCAGATCCAACTGAAAATTGTTTGTTAATTTATTCTCAAGATATGTTTGGAATTTATCAAAATCAGTAATAAACCCATCGGAATTAACTATTGGTTCGACTTCAAAGTGTTTTCTCTCGTAGTCAATCCTGGACTCATCTGTGACCAATTCTCCATTTCTGTCGCCTTCTTCAACAATGACGCCAACATGAGAGGAGGAAATATGTTGTGGCTGATCTTCGCCGGCATACCCAAGCCTAGTTGTATGTGTACCCACATCTACAACAATACTTGATACATCGTCACCCGCATACATCTTTAATTTTCAATTATTTTAATAAATTGAGGGGTTTTGGGGTTTTGGGGTTTTGGGGTTTTGGGG